GAGTCGTGAAATCCTAGGAAAGTAACGCGGCGACGTGAAACCCGAAGCAGCAGTGTTGGTGGCACTGGGCGTGATTAGTGTGGGCTTGGTGATCAAAGCACTAGATCACGAAATTCATTGTATCTTGGAACCAAGAAGTGGTGGATATAGTGAATTGCTCTTGGACGATAAGAGCAAGTGGAGTAGGAGGATTACACCACCTCCGAACCACTATAAATTGCCGTGTGTTCTTTACTGCTTTCTTTACTTACTGCTCTTGCTTGCTTCTCACGAGAATAATCTTGACACAATATGCACACACACCGTATCGTTTATTATTTCCGTTGTGCACCGGACTCTAACAATCTAGTTAAGAGTCTTGGTTCCTTTGTTGCCTTAGCAATTGTTGTATTGTGCTAAAAAGTTTGAAAGTCTATTCACACACCCCAACCCCCCCCCCCCCCCCCCTCTAGACTTTCACCTTACATCTTTTGGGACCAACAATAAACATATTTAAAATGTCGTCATTAACGAGAATTTGAACTCTTTAACATTAGAATAATTAGTAAGCGCCCATAGTTTAATTGATGAGGTGTGCTCATGGACTAATGGATAAGGCGCTTGACTTCTAATCAAGTGATTGTGGGTTCGAGTCCCACTGGGTGTGTTTAATTGAAGTTGTTGGTATAATAAACAATTTAGAAATGATTAAAATGTCAAAAAAATATTTTCCTTAATTATAAAAACTAAATCCATACTACTTAAATTGTAAAGATAAAAATAATATAATTAAAATCATATACAATTAAATAATATAAATTAATTAGTATTAATTAATAATATTATTTTTGTTTTTGCAATTTAGGTAGTATGTGGTTTAATTTTTGTATAATTAATAAAATTATTTTTGTGATGTTTCATTTCTTATATTAATATTTTAATAAATTACTATAGTTGGATTTGAATTTAAAATATTATTATTATTATTATTATTATTATTATTATTATTATTATTATTCCAATGTCATGGTTCAATTCTTATTAATGACATGATATGTTAAATATTTTTATATTAACATATTATTAATTAGTGATTAGTGATTTGGTAGTCACATTGGCATATCTAAGTAAACTAGAAATTTCTCTATCCACAAGAATTCATTCAATAGTAATGGTTGAACCAAAAGTATCTCGAGCAGAATACCCAAAAGATTGGTATGCTTTTATGTTGATAATAATATGTAGATGATAATTAGATCATTATCTTACGTAGCTACATTTTTAACTCATTATTAAAAATACCAATGTAGGAAATAGAATATCATGACACACTTAACGCGTTTGAAATTAAAAATCCCGAGACTACAACAATGCTGCAATCAATCTTACAAATCCAGAAAATGAAGAAATTTCAAAACTAGTCATCTTTGCAGCATTTATTGATCCTGTATGTAAAATACTTATTGTGCATCCTTTAAATATATTAGAACTAATACAAATTAAATTTACAATTTATTTCATTTTCTAGACTCAACATGTTTGGATTAAAGACAAAATCAGCATCAACATTGACAACAAAAACACTCAGTATTCGAACCATTATTGTTACTATTAAATAAATAAGTTATGGAACAGGTAGAACAAGAGCTACTACTCATGAACCCTCTACAAATATAATAAATATTAATATTTTGTTCAATACTTTCACATGATCGAGAATATACGACACACATCTCACAACACATGAAACATGTAGGGTAAAAAACTACAACTACCAAGTATCAACATACGCTTGCGAGATCAAGAGTTCATAGTACAACTATGATCCCAGTCATATACAAAACAAGTCAAATTCATAGCTTCATACACCATAATCTGATTGCATGACGTTGCCCTCTATGTTACCTTCAGTAACCCAATTGCACAAGACACACTACCAATAAAAAAGAAGATGACATGTACTAAAAATGAAGACAATGACAATGTTACCCAAAAGAGAATTATGAAGACTTAGAAAAATTCAAACTGAAAGTAGTATTTATTTAGACTATCGTTTGTAGACTAAGTATTTAAACTAGCATTATTACAAAGTTGCAATAATTTATTTTAGTGACAATTATAATCAATATCTTATATATTATCTTGCAGTCATATATACTTTAAATTACTGATTTAAATAAAAAAATTCAACATTCAATTACCTATTCATGAACATCTCTTATATAATCTTTCATTGATATGCTTTGAAGTATTTATTTAATAATAAACATTGAGCATTATCTTATCCGGGCAATGCACGTGAAAAACTAATGTGTGTGGTGTGTGTGTGTGTGTGTGTGTGTATTCCCGGGCAGACGTATGGATATGCACCACTAGGTATTAGGGCTGGGCATTTCGGTTCGGTCTTAAATCGAAGTACCGATCAGTACTCGGTTTAAGGAAATCGATCGAATTCTTTTTTTATAATAAATATATAATGTACTAAATTTCCAAGGTGAGGTTTGAACTAGGGGTGCGTGTTTCGGGTTTCGATTCGTTTTTTTTTTTTTTTTTGGTTTAAAAAAAAAAAATTAAACCTAGAGTTCGGTTTGGTTTCGGTTCGGTTTGAAAAAGTTCGGTATTCGGTTCGGTTCAATTTTGGTGGAAGTCCACTATTTGAACGTCTCCTTTTTTGCCTGACCGATTGTTTAGTTGGCTCACTTGAAGTGTTTTGTTGATGACATGATGAAGAATCATCCATCTACATAGTTAATATTTGAAAAATAAGAATTATTAAAACACCAAATGTTGGGACTTACAACTTAGAGTTGAGGTTTGAGGACTTGAGGAGTTGAAATTATTAATTATTATAATATTTATATATAATACTAGCATTTTGTACGCGCGATGCGCGAAAATTTATGCCCAACATTAAAAATTTGATAAATGCAAATAATTACAAGTTATAGTTCAAATTATATTTCGCAATTCCTTAAAGTAGTAAATTTTAATCATCGTATTTGAAAACTATAGAGATGAACAAAATTTATATTTTATTTATTAATAATGTAAATAATTTTGATATAATTTATACTTTATTTTTACAATAAATAAATAAAATATCTATAATACTAATCTAGTACTCGATCACATATATTGGTGCATGTGCGTGCCTATCTATCTATATATATATATATATATATATATATATATATATATATATATATATATATACACACACACACACACACATATGATTTGCCATTCATAGAAATTTAATTAAAATATTATCAACAATTAAAGTAATTATATAATGATTTTAATAAAATGATAATTAAAGAATAGGAAAAAGATATCATAGATATAGGTGTATGATAATAATGATAGAGTTACGAAAGTTAAAATTAAATAGTAACGGTGTAAGGGTATTTTTGTCTAAGAAGAATATAGTAGGTACAATTGTATCCATTATAATTGAAGTGGAAAACATTTAATGAAAAATGTATACCTTTATTAGCACACAAATGTAAGTATTAACATAAATGTGCATATAGCTTATTGGATAAATTTTTTGGTTTCTAACTAAATGGTCAATGGTTCAAATCTCATCTTGAATATTTAGAATATTATAAAAGCAAAGTATAAATATATATTTAAGGTGAGATTTGAACTCTTGACCATAAAGTTAGAAAGCAAAAACTTTACCTATTAAGCTATAGACACATTTGTATTAATACTTACTATTTAATTCTAAATTTCATTATTATCATACACCTATATTTTTTCCCTATTCTTTAATTATCATTTTATTAGATTCATTATATAGTTACTTTAATTGTTGATTATATTTTAATTAAATTTCTATGAATGGTAAATCATATATGTGTGTGTATATATATAGGCACGCACACACACCAATATATGTGACCGGGTACTAGATAGTATTATAGATATTTTTATTTATTTATTGTAAAAACAAAGTATAAATTATGTCAAAATTGTTTACATTATTAATAACCAAAATATAAATTTTGTTCATCTCTATAGTTTTCAAATACGATGATTAAAATTTACAAATTTAGAATTGCGAAAAATAATTTGAACCATAACTTGTAATTATTTGCATTTATCAATTTTTTAATATTCGATATAAATTTTCGCGCATCGCGCGTACAAAATGCTAGTATTATATATAAATATTATAATAATTAATAATTTCAACTCCTCAAGTCCTCAGACCTCAAATCTAAGTCGTAAATCCCAACATTTGGTGTTTTAATAATTCTTATTTTTTAAATATTAACTATGTAGAGGGATGATTCTTCATCTTGTCATCAACAAAACACTTCAAGTGGCACTCCAAGTAAGCCAACTGAACAATCGGTCAGGTAAAAATGGAAATGTTCAAATAGTGGACTTCCACCAAAATTGAACCGAATCAAAACTGAACTTTTTTCAAACCGAACCGTACTCTATTGTTAAATCGAATAGTTTAATTTTTTAAAATTGAAAACTCGAAACCGAAACCGAAAAAACCGAACGGAAACTCGAAAGGCCCACTCCTACTAGGTATGCATGAATGCACCACTACGTGTTTAGAAATGCACTAAAGTGTAGTGCATTTTATGGTGCATTTGTGCATTTCACCCTAGTGCATTTATAAACACGTAATGGTGCATCCATGTATACCTAGTGGTGTAGATCCACACGTCCGCACCGAAAGCTCTGTCCACATTGGATATGGCATATATATATATATATATATAGAGAGAGAGAGAGAGAAAGTAAGGGCAAATCTATCTATAATTTTTATGGGATTTTGCGTGTTTGGCTTAGTTGGGATGCTTGCAGAGGGAGGAATATTTTAAACAAATTTTTTTTTCTTCTAACAAAAAACCACAGCAGTGTACCAACTGTTGGGGATGCTCTATAGCTGCCGGTCTACCCATGTAAAATACAATAAATTTTCTCTGCATCCGAAACCACAAAAAGGAAGGCAGAGAATGTGACATTATATATATATCCATAATCAAAGCAATTAATGATTCAATATAATTTATATATTATTCCAAAAGGCATTTCACTTGTTACGTAAGATGAATACATGGATGGTTGTATACTTAAACTGAGAGAGGGAAACTAAGTCCTAAACTTTTCTCTAATTACATTGTCCTATGTATACCTTACGGCTCCACAGAACCTCTCTTCCTTTCCTTGCTTTTCCTCAAAACTTTGAATTCCATCTTTTTCTTTTTTTTCTTTTTTTGGTTGGAATTTTATCTCCTGTGAATTCAGATCCTTAAAATGAATGTATAAATTACCATCTGCAATCATGATCACCCTCACAGTTTTAGCTTGCTTGTCTTCGGATGAAAGGCTTCTGGCAAACTAGGAGTTTCTCATCGCTAGTGCTCTCGATCTCTGCAACCCGAGCATCCCATTTCAACCGTGCTGCGTGGACTCTTGCTAATTCGACGAGAGGAACTGTGTCGCGTAGGATAAACCAACCCTGCATCATACACGCACCGGAAAGGTAAATGAAACACCTTATCTCGACATTTCAAACATTTAAAGATGGGATTTTGGTATAGAATTTAAGGCCATATAAACATTTAAACATAATAAGCCGCGAATCTCTAGTAAGTTCCTAAGGGTAGAAGAAAACCACACTCAAGCATGAAAGCATAAACAAGCACGCAACATTTTGGCTTCACCAAATTTCATTGTAACATTTTTTTAGATGAGTGGAAAGAACAAATTCTGGAGCCTACTTTGAGATTATTACAAACTTTCCTTTTCATTCCTTTTCTAGCAAGAAAGATAAGGGTCTTTCCTGATTCTTTTTACTTTTCCTTGCTCTTTTGGGGGTTTAGCCAATTTTGGATCGATTGAAAACGAAAAGGGGCTAAATTTGGTCAAATTAAAGCTCAAGGGCTAAAAGTGAAAATATAGGGACCAAATCAAATAACTCATCCAGGGAGTAAACCACGGCAAATTATACCATGGACTAGAGTCCATCTTGCATTGTGGACTCTAGTCCAAAATGACATTCAGATTATGTGTATGTAGTTAACATACTATGTGCCTATGTGTTAATAGATCATGTGCCTGTAAATAAATTGAAGACACATAATAATGATAACTACAAACACATAATATGTTAATAGCAGGCACATAATATGCACTTAACATGGTATGTTATGTGCTTGTAGTTAACATTATATGTCTGTAGTTAATATATTATGTGCCTCCAATTTATTTACATTAACTGAAGGCACATAATAATATAATATGTTAACTACAAACACATAATTTTGGATCAGCATCCACAATGCAAGGTGGACCCCACAAACATAACTAGTATACGATGAATTGTGCCAACCACACAAGCATAGGTATTATATGATTATTATTCAGGTAGAACGATAACAGATAACTTACCTCTGGACGAAGTACACGATCTATCTCAGTGAACAGATCTTGCATCCCACATCTGCTATGATGAGTGAATTCAAGCGATAGAAGCCCGTCAGCATGCACTAGATCATAAGTTCTTGGATACGTTGGAAATGGTTCACACCTGGAAGAAAAAAGTTAAAATAATTAGGCGAATCCATAAAAACATAAAAGAAGCATAAACTATACTTTCCATAACAACACTATATAGTTGAGAAGAAGCCGAACCAAGGTTGTGCTATTAATTTAGAAATGGAAAGGGGATTTACCAATCATGTAATACACCAACAAATCCCCGATCAAGGATTAGAGGAAGGTAATTGGGGGCACTGGTGGGGATCACATTCATGACCCACACAGATTTTCCAGCTTCCAACAAAGCAGCGTTGAAACCACCGAAATGAGCATTCATGTCTAAAACATTCCTAAGCATGTTATAGGGCGGGGAAGGATCCTCGTCCCCGGGTCTCTTTGGATGATCAGAGAAGATTAACGGTGAGAGCAGTGACCAATAGTTGTTAACTGCGGAGTTCCAGTTAAGAGAATCTTCAGCAAGATCTTCAGACTGCAAACCTGTTGGAACATAGAAACCACTAAATAAATAATAAAGAGAGAGAGAATTGAAGCGTGTGCTCCATCTCAACTAAAAGCTTAAGACATTAATGGTTAGATTCGAACCCATGACCTTTGGTCTGGCTCTGATACCAAATTGAAGCATGTGCTCCCTCTCAACTAAAAGCTTAAGCTGATAGTTGGTTTGCACATTAATGGTTATATGCTCAACAGAGAGATTTGATGTGCCAGTGGCCATTTCTCTACTTTTTTTTCTCTTTTTTTTAAGTGTTACGTTCAATTGAACTGTGGCGTTTACCATGCACTTTAAGTTCCATTGGGCTCAATCTAGCCCGGGAAGGCCATTTAGTCCTTTCTTCAATTGGAATCCACCGCTGGCTCTGTGTTCCTCCAATGCATTTCTGAAGTGGTCGATAATATGGAGATTCGATATCATTGCCTTTACTGCAGAGAGAAGGGCCCGAACTGGTTTTCCTGGAAATAGTAGCAATTGAAATAAGGTCGTAAAGATTTTACTGGTATTTAAATAGCTCGATCCAGCGAGAAGCTAACATTCTTTTAGAGGTTAAAATTGCGCTCACTTCTCTTGTGTTTACCTGGTAGAATAAGACTTCTTTTCACTCGTCTTCTTCCAAACAACAGTTTCATCTTGCTGTGACAACAACTCCCAGTGGAGATTTTCTGCAAAAGTACGAACGGAGTTCCATTTTTTCTCATTTTCTTTGTTGCGAAGTGACCGTCGGGCATTCATAACAGATGAAGTCCAGACGAAATATCCTCCAGGTCTTAGTATCCGGTCCACTTCGATCAAAAGAATACCATCTAAACCACATCAAGAAGTGCATAACATCATCAATAACGCTAATGGAAAAATTATAATAGGCTAATAGCTACATGGACCGGATTGTGTTAGGGCAATTGAGAATCTAAAAGAAACAGCAAAGGATGAACTAAAGCAACACAACTTCCTCTTTCTAGCTTATTAGTACCTTTCTGATCCCAGTCAATGTGACATTCGGCACAATGGATCATATCAAAAGAGAGAGACGGATAAGGCAATTGCATCGAATTAAATGAACCAATCATTGCGGGAAGGCCTCTTTCGAGAGTAAGTTGAACTTGACTGCCAGAAGCCTCGTAGTTTGCAATGCACATAGTTAATAGTTGGCTGGAGAACAGATGTGCACCAAAACTACCAAAACCGCATCCAATATCCAAGATGAGTCGAACCTGAAAATGTTGTAAATGTAGTTTATAGTCATCGATAAGACATTTTTTTTTGGGTCAGACCACGAGGTGTCCTGAGCAGGCCCTAATAGTAGGAGGCACCTTTAAGCCCGTACCATACTCAGATTAATCCTCGTTCGCACCGGCCCGGCCCAATTAAGGAGCAAAGTACTGGCTAGATTGGTTTTTCCATACGAGAGGGGGTTCGAACTCCCGAGTCCCGACCTCTCTTAAGGGAGCACGGCCACTCACGCCAACCAAGCTGGTTACAGTAAGACATATTTGAGAATAAACTACATCAAAGATCTAGATGAATCGCAAATCTATGACTGCTGAAAGTTATAGCTTTTAGTTAATTATTATTGCACATGCTCTATCAATGTAAACAGAAAACAGCAAAAAGCAATTTATGATCCAATGCAAACCACCTACCCCAGCTTGCACAAAGTTGGATTCGTTTCTTAGCCCAATCATTTCGGCAATTTGATGTGAGTAGTCTTCAATACTGTCGAACATGGAAGATTCTGAACGAAACGAGATCTTCTCTTCCTCCAACATCATCATCCTGCAATTGCACGACAGGGTTAAAAAGGAATTCAACTTTAGAGGATGACAAAAACCATAAAGATTTGTACTGACCTCTTCGTCAAACTCCCAGAAGAGAGTACCTCCTGTGCCGTGATGTTAACATTGTCAAGCCAGATAACGTCCCTTCCAGTAGGCCACCTAAGAGGAATTCTGTAATTAACGGGCAGAGGAACCAGACAACTTTCTTGGAACCTAGGCGTACAATGTCGATCATACTCTTCCCCGTCAGAAAAGCCTAATCCAAGGCTTTGAGTAACATTGAAGCACGGCACATAATTCTCGTTCTCAGGAGGACAGTAATCAAGATCCTTCGGTTTAGCAGAACCAAGAGAAATCTGTCCAATGTCCTTCAAATCCAACACCACTTGCTCTTGAAGCCTCCTATACCCATGATATATTCGAACTTTGGATGACTTTGTTATCGACATGGTCCAAAAAAAGGACCCAGCAAGAGAAAGAACTACAATGGCAATTAAACTAAATCTGAGCACAAGTAAGGTGAACTTAAATCGACTTCTCCCATTCCCCCCCGGGTTGAAGGGATCAGATAAGAAACCATTTTCACCAATACCAACACCTTTAGAAGGTGAACTATCTGGAAAAAGAATCCTTAAAGGGGATATTACAGACAAGTAGCTTTGATCAGAAGCTGATCCACTCTGCTCCAAATCTTCCTTCTCTATCTTTTCTTTCATCTGTGAATCATCCCAGAAATCCTGGCCGTTCCCTGAGAACCGGCAACTACCCCCACCGGATAAACCACGCTGCTGCGGCCTAGCCATATTCCGGCCTGACAAATTACAAATTACTAATCCATATCAAATAAAATCAACAATAAATTCTTCACCATAAAGGGTAAAATGCAGAAAAAAAGGAACTTTTCCTAATTTTCATACTAAGATCCACAAACCCCACGAAAATTTAGTATTTCAGGAGCGAAACAATAAAACAGAAATGGAAATTTCCAAGGACCTGCAATAGATAGTGCGGAATTGGGATTGAGCAAACAGTAATGGAGTAGATACTAAAAGTTGAAGTGCCACTTATTGAGTTGTTTTCCAATTAAAAACAGTGAGTAGAGTTGAGTGGGGAAATGAAATTCATCACAGAAAACACATTAATTAGTAGAAGGCCCAGAAACCCAATTTGGATCAGTTCAAAAGAAGTAAGTGACGAAAGAAGAAAGAAGGAAAAAAAAAACCAAAAAAAACTTTTCGCCAAAGAACCAATGACCCATCAGAGCACAAGAACAAGTAGGTGGTGAAGAGAGGGAGGAGAGGGGAGGCTTCTTCTAGTACCTTAATGGTGTTTGCAGAAATGCCTCAAATTCTTGAATAGCTTTCTCCTTCGTGGTGCCACCACTATACAATGAACGGAGGTTTTATCCCCCGCTTTCTCACTCTAGCTCCGCGTCTGGGTTTATTTCACCGACGCGGTTTTGGAATCTTGAGAGAGAGAGAGAGAGATGGAGACTGGAGAGTGGGTATATATGGATCCAATTCACCATTCACCTCTCTATTGAAAAAGGCTTGAATCTGCGTTTGCCACCATGGCTATGTATAGCCAGCATTAAATACATATACTTTACTTCATTTCTACGTAGGAAATACTAAAATTTGCACCGGACCCGCAGCCACTACCGTAAGATGTGCATTAGATAAATTCGTTTTTGTGACCTTAGTCGTAAAGGATTACACTGGTTCAAATCACCAAGAAAATTATAAATTACTTTGTTTTGTTACTTTAGCCCGTACAGAATCACACCGATTCAAACCACCAAGAAAATCCATAAGTTGTTATCGAGGTCGAACTTATAACCTTATAATAGCAAGTCAATAGTTTGATCAGGAAGTGTATACCGATAGACCCGTCTTGTGACCTAATACTACAAGAAATTAAATTAACTTAAATTATTTATTTTACCCAATAAAATTAAAAATATTAATACACGACTGCAATTGAAAGTCAAATTTATAACTTTATAATTAATAAGTCAAATGTTTATTTAAAAAACAAAAAAAAAATATAGTATACACATTGGATAGAGAGTGTATGAGATTGAGTTCAACCCCAGGCCCCAGCTGTGATCCTAGATTTACTGTGTTCCCCCCTCCCCCCACGCAACAGTACAAAAGGTTACAACTTTATTACTCCGTACTATTTACTAACCAATTTTGACTCTAATAGACGTCTAGGTGTTGAAAAGACCACTTAAATTTTGTCAAATTTAATTTAAATTATCTATAATTGACACGTAGAAATCAAAACAATTAATATATTATTCTATTAAAAATGAAACTTGAAACTTTATGATTATCAAATCCATCGTAAAATTAATTTAATTAGAATTTGTTCCAAATTTCTTCTTTTTGTTTCAACAACAAAAGAAAATTGCTCCTCAAAATTGAACATAGTTAATATATCGTCTAACTTAAAAATCGTAATTAGAGGTGATTTTTTAAAGAGAAGTATGGACTTAGAATTTATCTGACAAACTTGCGATCACTAATAAAAGTTTTTTTTTTTTTTTAAATACCGATTTTTGTTGCAAATCTGCCCGCAATTCCTACATCCTAGGCGATATTAGAGGATTATCGGGCCTACCTCTATTATACTGTTTCTCCTCTTTAATATGCTTCAATTTGGAAAAAGGAAAAAAAAAAAAAAAAAAAAAAAAACAGCTTTTATTAAATTTTAAGTGTTGATAGTAATAATGTTAGATATATTACAAATAAATAAATTGAACTAGGACTATATGGTCTAATGGTATCCAAGTTGGACTCTCAGTTGGAAGGTTATGAGTTCAAACCTCAGTAAATAACACAGATTATCACTTTCTATTAGTGTATTATTTTTTTATTGAATATATATAAAAAAAAAAAAATTTGAATACTATTGACTTTATTACAATCAAAATAAGGAAATAATTAAAATATAAATTTCTTATTACTTAAGTATATTAATCAATTCACTAGTAATCTATGTAACTTTTTAATCTTAAAATAAAAATTGTAATAATAGAAACTTTTAACGTTATATATATTGTACGTTCTCTTTCAAATGTAAAAATTGTGATAGTATTCAATTGGCCCCAATTCATTCATTTGAATTGAGTCAACTTATCATTAATCATGCAATAGATGTTGCATTCAAATTAGATGGGAACTCACATAATTGGATCACCTAAATTCACCACTCCATGTGAAATTCGGCTTTCAACATCTTGAAATTAGGGCTCTGTAAGTTAGAATTTGAATTTGTTGGGTCCCTAAATTGTAAATTGGGCTCCTTAAGTTAGCAGGAGTGTAGAGATAAATCTCTTGTGCGCAGAGCTAATGATACAGACTGACTAAAAGACTATTTAGGTGACTCACGATTTATCTTCTCCAACGCGACATTTAGATAAAGATTCTGGAAGATTAGGATTAGTCTAACATAAGATGAGAAACCTAATCTATTTAAAAAAAAAAAATTGTAATTGAAGGGTAGGAGCATGAGGTAATTAATGAGTAATTGATGTTGTACAAGTAGAGGCTCCACATGATCAACAAAGAGAAGAAGCAAGATGTCAAAGTGTACCCATATTGCAATTCTTCTTAAATCTACTACAATTGTGTTTCAGGTAAATTAAATTACTAATGCATAAATTTCTGTGCCCATTTTATAGTACTGAGATTGTACCATAATGTATAGAAAAATTATACATATCTCAATAAATTTTACTCTTTTAATTTTTTAATAATCTTTAAAATTATAATTATTTAAGAAGTTTTTTTTTTTTTAAATGAATAAATGAACTCTTAAGAGTCCATATCAATTAACCAAGTCATGGAGTGTTCAAAATCTAGGGATTCTTGATATGACTTAATAGGGCGTTTGGTTGGAAGGGGGAATTAGGAGGGAAATGAATTGAATTTTAATTTTGTGGGAAAAGAATAAATTGATAATTTAAATTACATTATTTGGTAAGAAGGAATAAAATGATTAGAAATTTAAAAGGAAAAAGGTAAATAAAGACTAAAATGACATTGTATAATAATAATAATAATAATAATAATAATAATAATAATAATAATAATAATAATAATAATAATAATAATAATAATAATAATAATAATAATAATAATAATAATAATAAAATGATAATTTATCATAGAATTACAATTCCACAATGTGCGGAATTGCAATTCTATGGTTAGAGGGAATTGCAGTTCCCTTCAACCAACCCATGAAATTGCAAATCCATGGAGTTTGGTAGGAATGAAATTACAATTCCATCCTACCAAACTCTCCCTTAATGTATATGCACTTTAATTTGCCAAATAGAGAATCATATTATTTTTTGTTCGAGTACTACTGACTCTGTTACAATGTAGTATCTCTTCATAGCTACTTTCTCAATCTATTGAAGTGCACAAAGAGTTAATATTGTCCTCACTGGGGCTAAAATTCATGACCTATCATTTGGATCACTAGACCACAAGGTCATTGACAGAGAATCATATTATTTTTTGTTTGAGTACTACTGACTATGTTACAATGTAGTATTTGTTCATAACTACTTTCTCAACCTATTGAAGTGCACAAAGAGTTAATAATGCTCTCAGTGGGGCTAAAACCCATGACTTCTCATTTGGATCACTAGACCACATAGTTATTGGCAAAGAATCATATTATTTATTACATGCCAGTAGTGTTCAATATTTAAGACTTAAGAGATGAACATAATTATTTGTCATAATAATTAAAGATATTCATCATATAACTAGGCCCAATTTATTGATCCATTTGAAAGTTATATTATATGAACAGTATTTATTGTGTTGAGCAAAATACAAATTGTATACAGTTCCTGATGAAGTTAAAAAGAATAAACAAATGAATTCATCTATATATGCATGAGTATTTTTTTTTTTTTAACCACAATTGAGTTTTAAAATTATTATTTTTTTAATTTTCACCTTTTAGCATGCCATTATTTTAACTTACTTTTATATTTAATTACTACTACATAACTCTTTTTTATAATATTTCTTTGTTGAATTAACTTGGAGAGTCACAAACTACTATGTAGTGTGATGACCAACTACTATGTAATGTGATGACACATAGTCCATCTATTCATAAATAATTAATGAATATAAATAGTTGATTGGCTAAGAAAATATATGTTAGACTCAAAAAGTAATATAAATTGGCTAAATTGAAGAGAGCATAATGATTATACATATTTATCGCGATCAGAACACAATTGCGGATAGATTGGCTAAGTTGACAACAAATGGTAATGAGGAATGGATAGACTTTGACACCCCCACCCCCGCCCCTCCTGGATGCGGAACCTTGGTGCGTAATGAATTTGCGTCTCGTCCACGAGACGGAGTAGGCTCTCTGTTTTAAGCCACTTTGGGTAGCACCCCCGTTTCTTGTATTAAAAAAAAAAGTAATATAAAGAGGTTTAAAAAAAAAAACAAAAAAAAAAACTTTATAATACCATTTCATGAGAAGAGCCTTAGAAATAAGATTAAAAGAGCAAAAAAAAAAAAAATTGTTTACAAAGGGGTCATTTTCTTGTTTGTTTTCCTTGTCATATATTTTCAAAATTTTTGCCTAACTCATGACTCATATAAGAACAAACAAGAGAGACTTTATTGATGTAGACACCTGTTATTGACATTGTGATAATACTTCCAAGAATTTTGTTGAATAAAGGACACAAAAATAACCTTTATTTCAAAATGACCAAACAACGCCGTATGTACCAAAACACAATTTTACCAAAATGGTCTAAAACAGTAAAATATTTCAGAAATATTGATAACGAATGAGCATGCTAAAATGAACAATACTCAATTGGTACAAACATAATTAATAAATGTGATGATTATATTTGTTAAGAAGTGTGGAAAGTCGGTGATCAGAATTTCTTAATATAATTTAGGAAGATAATAAATGTTATTCAATTGTCAGAATTTTTATTCTGTTTCAACGTGCCATATATTTAATAGAGTTACACTTTTTTTTTTTTGAGTAAGGAAGAAAAGTCCTATGACCCTAATTAGCAAAAGACCAATCATTATGATAGGATTGGGTATTTCGGTTCGGGTTATTCGACCCGAATTGAATTCGGTTCGGTTCGATTCAGTTCAGTCTCAAACCGAAGTATCAATCGGTACTTGGTTTGAGGAAATCGATCGGTTCGGTTCGGGTAAAATCTGGATCGAATTGGAAAAGCGATCATTTTTTTTAATAATAATAGATATATAATGTATTAACCGGGCGTTTGGTTGGAGAAGGGGAGTTACGTGGGAAAGGAATTGCGATTCAATGGGAGATGAATTACTGGAATAAAGTAAAAATTTAAATTCCAGTGTTTGGTTTACAGGAATAGAATTACTGGGAATTTCAATTCCAATGTTTGGTATACATGGGAATTGAAAAGGAATAAGTAGTATAAAGTCAAAAATGTCTATTGTTGTTGTTAATTCATTTCAACCAAATAAGGGAATTTTGTGACCTTTGAAAT